CAGAAGTAGATTGCCCAGATTCCTTCTGAGCAGTGGCTGGTGGGTTTGAACCTCCAGCCTTCTGGTTAGCAGTCAAATGCCTTAGGTACTACACTACCAGGGCTTAGACTCCTGGAAAATGATGCACAGAGAGGTTTTCAGACTGCCTCTGCCTACCCTCCCCTGAAGCAAGGAGCACAGAAAGGAAAAATATAAGAGGAAGAAGATATAATATCATGTCTCAGAAAATTTTCAGCCACATTTATAAAGCACCAATGGCAGTAAGCATCTAACAAATATTTCATCCTGTTACAGATTAAATTGTGTGCTCCCAAATCATGTGTTGGAATCCTAACCCTTATACCTGTGAATATAATCTTGTTTGGAAACAAAGTTTTCTTTGTTATGTTAGTTAGGTCATACCCAAGTAGAGTGGATTCTAATCTAATCACTTCTGAGTTATAAAAAGAACAGATTAGACATAGAGATTGGTACAGACAGGAGAAGACATATATCACGTGAGGATTGTCAAGGAACCAAAGGCACTCGGGACTGCCGAACAGGAAGTAATTGACAAGGCTGTGACCCTGCTTTGGACTTTTAGCCTCCTGAACCGTGAGAGAATGAATTTCTCTTCTTTAAAGGCATCCACTTATGCTATTTCTGTTACAGTAGCACCAGGAAATTAAGATAGGCCCCTACCCTTATTCCATTCCTTCTTATTAAGGTTGATCATGGCAAAATAACTAATTTAGCTGACAAAGACAATTTATTTGTCTCCCAGCGTCCATACTCCCATCAGGCAGGTAAAGTTCTTACACCCATAAGTGTCCAAACATAGGCATCTTGATGACTTATCTATCTCCTCTTTTTTTGCTGCACCTTATCTCCTCTCTCCCTACTTCCCATAAGTGGTTAGATATAGTCTTATCCACAAATGAAGAGTGGTCTGCCTTGGGATCCCTAGAGTGGGGCTTTATTCACAAGATCAGGCTTCAGTGGACTTGAACCTCCAGCCTTTTAGGTAGCATGTTAACCATTTGCACCATTTGCACATTCTTATATATACATATTATATACATGTATATACACATATATATCTATATCTATATATATAAAGTTCTTCCCAGACCTAACATTCCTCTTAGTTCTTCTTAATTAAAACAGTCTTTGGGGATATGCCTGGATTGTGGTATCAGTCATCTTCAAATTTTGATGTGACACCAACCTTTTCAATGGTCTGAGGCTTCTTTTAAGCCATAGTATGTGTATATTGGACAAGTAAGTAATTGAGAAATTTTGATGATAATGTAAGTAATTTTAATTTTAAAGTATTTATCAGATGTTGGTGGAGTTTGGATAAGTGTTTATAGAATTCTTACTACATCTTTGGTACAATTTTTTTGTCAATGTTCTCATTGTATGTGTACTACAGGTTTTATGTTAAATTTGTTGATGTTTGTATTTTGGGTCAAATCAGTAAAAAACTAAAATTGGTTTCTAATGTCTCCACATGATTCAAATTATTTACCAGATTACCAAATAATTTAAGAACTTATTCATTAAAATCCACAATTGATCTCTTCTTCTTAATGAATTACTCCTTATTTTGGACTTTTCCAGTATAATCCAAACAGTTCCTAAGCCTCACTATTTGCTTGTAACAGATCAGGGTTTACCTTGAAGAGAACCACATAAACATCCTCTACTAAAAACCAAACTAAATGTCTCCCCAACTCAACTTCCCCTTAGTGGTATACCAAAAAATACACACAGACACCTCATCACTGGTCAACACAGGGCAAATGTGAGGGAGGGGGAACTAGGGTGGAAAAAAGCAGTGGTCACAACCAATTATGGTTAAAATATCCTATACAAATATGTAACTTCTTAAGTGCAATGTTCTCCTTTCCTTGGGTCTTGGAAGGAGCCAGATGCAAGTGAGGGTTCTGGAAGCTTAAAATTTAGTCGCTTCATGTAAAGTCAATCTCTGGCTCTAGAGTAGACAACCACCAGGTCTGCTACCATGATGGTATCTAAAGTAGGAAATCTTCAGGAGCAGGTGAAATGAGGAGACTGTGGAATACAAATTGTAGGGACTAATCAACAGCAGTGTTCCAGGAGGACCTAGATGAGGAGGTAGCAATGGGAGTGAAGTGGAGATCCAAGACAGGAGACCTGGGGAGCAAACTACTACATCTGGTGAGTGAGTGGATCTAGCAAGTAAGAGTGGGGTGAATCAATGCACCTCAGATTTTCAAGGATGGATTAGCAGGAAGATGGGACAAGAGATTGCAAGGGTGAGGTTGTCTGTCGTATGCAGTAATAAGGCAGACTTTGACTTAGTTAACTGGGTCAGGAAGGATAAGACCTGGAGGTAGCTGAGCCCACACAGATGTTGGAGGGCTGTTTAGTGTAAGATGAAGGGACCTACTCAGGGTTATTCCTCAGTGGGGGAGCAACACTGGGATGCAACCCAGTTTTCCTGACTCCCAGCTCTTTTCTTTATCCTCCGCTGCCTCCCAAATAAAATATTTACCTCATGTTACACATTCCACACTGGAAGATGGTATTAATTCTTGCCTAAGGAGAGACTGCCTGGGAGGTTAAGCATCAAATCTTGACGGGTGGCTCATCTTATTGATGATTTTATCGGTTGTAGGGAATCTATGCTGGGTGCTAAGAACATCTATAAGGGAGGGAGGGTGGTGGTGGTTAGAAACTTATTATTTCAAGTTTGTCTATCTCATTTTAGTTCTTTCTTTCTCTACCTCCCACAGACACCTGGTTTCCAGGTGCCAAAATATACATTTTAGTGCCTTGAAGCAAAACTAACTCTTCTGCCAGACAGAACACTGACACATTTTCTGCTACTTCCCCTTTACCAAATTTTCATTGCAAAAAAGCAAAGCATTTCAGTCAATGGAATAACTCAGTGATGATTAGGGTTGCTGCTTCTTGAAGAGAATTTTCATTCATTCATTCATTAAACAAATATTTATCAAATGATGCAATGTGACAAGCACTATGTTAAACATTAGAGATATAGTTGGAAACAAACATGACCACAGTCTTGGCCCTCTTGGGTACTCTTACCAAACAACTCTAAAATGAATGTAAAAGTGCAATAGTGATCTAATGGAGAGGTACCTGCTTGGTTGGTATTCATATACAATACACTGCTGTATCCATTGTTAAAATATTTAAATGCTTCCACACTGATTGTGGTAGGGAGTCTGTTAAGATGGTCAACCATTTTCCTTCTTTCTGTCTATACATATGCTGCTCTATCCATCAAAAGTGAAGTCTATCTACCCTCCCTTGAATCTGGTCTGGCTTTGGGACTTACTTTGACCAAAGATGCCCTGAGCTAATCCAATGGGACTTCTGAGCCAAGGCATTACGAGAATTGGAGGCTTCTTCTACTCTTTCAGAAGCCATCTGCCATACGTTATTACTGTTGTTAGGTGTTCTGGCGTCAGTTCCGCCTCATAGTGACCATATGTGTAACAGTACGAAGCACTGCCCAATCCTGCACCATTGTCATAATTGTCGCTATGGTTGAACCCACTGTTGCAGCAGTCACTGTGTCAGTCCATTTCCTTGAAGGTCTTCCTCTCTTTTTGCTGATTTTCTAATAAGTATGATATCCTTCTTCAGGTACTGGTCTCTCTTGATAACATGTCCGAAATACACGAGATGAAGTCTTGTCATCTTCACTTCTTTTTCTCTTTTTTTTTTTTTTTAGAATTGTGATTTGGGTGAAAGTTTACAGAGCAAATTCATTTTCCATAACAGTTCATACACATTTTGTTTCATGATTTTGATTGTAGTCCCCATAATGTAACAGCTCTCTTCCCACTTCTTCCCTTTGGTTACCCTTTCCCTGTGACCTTTCCTATGGATCCCTGCCCTCTGAGCTATCTTTCTGTGCAAAGACTGCCCTTCTCACCATCTTTACTTCTAAGAAGCATTCTGGCCATACTGCTTCCAAGACAGATTTGTTTATTCTTCTGGCAGTCTCCCAACATCGTAATTCAAATGCATCCATTATTATTCTGTCTTCCTTATTCATTGTCCAGCATTTGCATGCAGATGAGGTGATTGAAGATACCATGGCTTGGATTAGGCACACTTTAGTCCTCAAAGTGACATCTTTGCTTTTTTTTTTTTTTTTCAAACTGTATCCAGCTTTATTAAAGATACTTTTCATAAACAATCATGGTATTTCAGGCAGGACATGGGCAGACAATCGTTAACAGTATACAACAACTTTCAAACTTCCTTCTTCAATGGACTACCAAAATCAGAAAGACACTATAAAACCCAATGAAGTCTTCATTTGATGCTCCAAATAGGGAAAGTTTAGAGTGAGGGTTGACATTTCACATTTAGCATGTTGTTAAACAACTTTTCACGAGCCGACCCTGACTTTCAGAAAATGAAATGAAAATGGCAGAATTAACGATCTGAAAATCCACAATATAAAAAAAAGGAACCACTGCTTTTTTGAGGGATGCCACTGCAATGGCATCACTGGAAAGTCCAGATTGCCTGACAGACAGGTAACTAATTTTTTTTGGGTCAGGTCCCAAAAGGTCTTGAGTTTATGGGAGTCAAGTCTATACCGAAGGCAAAGAGGGCGAAGAGGACATGAGGACATACAAACAAATTGTAGTTTCTCCACACCGCAAGGTGTTTGTGCCAAGGTGGCTAATGTGTGTCAACATCAGGGAATCCTTCCCTCCTGGGAAACAAGAGTAAGTCTCTCCAAGCTAGAAGGGAAAGGTGTTTTCTTCCACATTAATCCAGCTTTAGAGACATTCTACTAGTGATATTTGCCCCTTCCCCAAAAAACAACAATGAAGTGTTCTGTGTGCTAACAACATAGCTTTAAAAAAAAAAAAAAGAAAAAGAAAAAAGGTAAAACAAAATTCTGCATTTTTATAAAACTTGATAAAAAATAGTATTTCAAACTGTACAGTCACCAGAAGTACACAGTTATCAAAAATGCACACACTTCACTTGGCATCTCCAGCACCTTCAGCTTTCTGTACCTGGCCTGCTTTGGCATCTCCATTTTCTGCAGGGTTTTTCCCATCCTTGCCAGCATCAGCTTTCCCTTTTTTCCCTTTGGGTACCTTCTCTCCCTTCTTTGCAGGGGCTTTTTTAGGCTTAGGCTCTGGTTTTGGAGGAGCAGGTTTAGCAGATAATCTTGCAGATCTCCTCTGTGGTTCGTCCTTCACCTTGGCTTTATCTCCCTTAGCATCCCCTTCAGCCTTTCTCTTGGGCATAGTGGCGATGGCGGCGGGATGCAGGCGCCGGAAGCGGGGATGCGGCTGTGCTCGAGCTTTGGTCGATCCGGGGGTCGTTCTCGCCTCTTCTTCACACTGCTCCGACATCTTTGCTTTTTAACAATTTTAAAAAAGTTTTTTTTTGCGGCAGATTTGCCAGTGCAGTATGTTGCTTGATTTCTTGACTGCTACTTCCATGGATATTGACTCTGTATTTGAAATGAAATCCTTGACAAATATTTTCTCCATTATTATATGTGGTTTATAGCTCCAGTGTGGAGATTTTTGTTTTCTTTATATTAAGGTGTAATCCCTACTGAAGGCTGTAATCTTTGGTCTTTATCAGTGAACGCTTCAAGTTCTCTTTGCTGACATCCTAGGAAACTCTATGGGGCAATTCTACTCTGTCATATAGGATCTCTATGAATTAGAATTGACTTGATGGGACACAACAATAACAACAGAAACCATGTGGCAGAAAACCACTCAGCTGAAAGCAGTTCAGACTGTGAAATTGTGAGAAATAAACTGTTGTTTTAATTTATTGTTACAGAGCAGTAGATTAAACCACTGGTATAGCTGTTGCAATGATCCCCCCTACTCTTTTGTAGCCAGGGACCATCAAGTCCTCCCTTCAGGACCCCCATGACTGCTCCTCCCTGTGCACTAAAGGGTTATTCCTGGCATAGCAAGAAGCCTCCAGGATCTTGTCCTAGAATCTATTCTGTTTGGACCTTTGTTCTGATTGGTAGACATCTTTACAGTGCCAGTACATATTTTGAGTATCATCCCTGGATACACAGTGCTGTAAGATCATACAGTAGTGGTGTTAGACTTATCAAAGAGGACAGAGGATTCCCAGAGGAAGTGAGCAGAAGGCATTACCAGCAGTAAGAAAGGTCTGTGGTGAGAAAGATGGTGGAAAGAGGAACTTAAAGAAGACCAGCATGGCTGGAGTTTCCAGACAAAGATGGATGTATGGGGTCTGGACTCTGTAATGCTCCTCCTGGGCGTCCCTGATGGATTAGAAAAGCAGCCTCTCTAGGCAGCCCAATGACATAGAATTATCTGACCAATAAGAATAGTGTAAACTGGAAAGTTACTTGCTAATCCAATTAGACTCTCTCTTTTAGAGACTGCAAACTCAATGTTCATCAAAAGAGTCAGCTGATCAGGAACAGAGGAAGCACAGCTGAGCTGCTTATAATAGCAGAAGACCATGGTTGGGGCCAAGGATGCTTTTCCCTATTTGAAGTCTGACTTCCAGAGTTGCTGTGGAGCAGAGGCAGTAGATGGTGGCCTACAGGATGATTGATGTAGCCAGCATACCTCTTCTGTCTGTCTTACACAGGATTGCCAAAATATTTTATTATTAAATTAGTTGTTGTTGTTAGCATCCAAAGAATCACCCCATTAGCTGCCATGGAGTTGCCCCTGACTCATGGAGGTCCCATACATAATGGAATACAATTCTGCTTAATCTATCCCCATGATTGATTGCAGATTGCATTGTTATGGTCCATAGGTTTTTTAATGGCTTATTGTTTGGAGGTAGATCACCAGGATTTTCTTCCTACTTGGTTTTAATCTGGAAGCTCTGCTGAAACCTGCTCAGTATCATAGCAACACACAAACCTCCACTAACAGATGGGTGGTGCTGCACATGAGGTGCATTGGCTGGAAACCGAACTTGGGTCTCTGGTGTGGAAGATGAGGCTTCTACCACTGAACTAACACTGCATTTGTGTTAGACTGGGTTCTCTAGAGAAACAAAAACCAGCAAAGCTTTTATATATATATATATATATATATATATATATATATA